ATCAATAAAATAAAATGAAAAATAGATGAACCAATTTTATATATGTTTACCCAATGCCATTAATGACAGGAACATTATCTTTATCTCTAACCCATACAGCAATTCTATCCCCCCTAGTTCTGCGTGACATCACTAAAGAAAGCATTTAAAAATTATTATTAAAACTTGTCTTTAAAAACAATCAAATTTCAGCTTCATTAATTAATGATAAATGTACCTGCTCCACAAATATCATCGGCTTCATCCAAGTCTTCTCCAACAAGCGCATAAACAAGCCATGTCCAACAACGATCAAGTAATTGAGGATTTTTTATTGAGATTACCCATTTACCGCCCTAGATAAATATTATTAGTAAATTGTTCGATAAATTTTTTTTTTGCTATATTTTTATTTATTTATTCTTGAATTAAATTAATATCATAAAACTCACATTAGCATTAGCTGGATCTTCCCACATTGGTTTAATCTTATTTTTAAATATGTGGAAGTTGGTGTTCATTGCCAACTTACTAGGTTTCTTTACCCAATTAAAATAACGACAAAATAATTGTACCTAATTAATTAATGAATGAATAAACGAAAAGAATAGTATAATAAGTATTGTGAAAAATCCCAATTATTTTATTTCCTATCCGGAAGAAAGAATAAAAGATAGCGTACATTATTAAAGGCTCCTATCGTTTGTAAATTTTCTTCATATGAAACTTTTCCTGTTGGAGTTTTTGGTCCAGGTGTCATAACAGGTTTACTATCGTAATACATCGTCCTAATTAATTATCAACAGTTTTATATAATGAGGTAAGTAAACAGAATGTACATTCACAAACAACACAACCACATTATATATTAATTAACATTACTAACCAGGAATGTTGGAGAGGCAGTATTTCTTTGGCGAAAGCAGGTGATGATCGATTGACATCTTCAACGGCAGAATTGTAACTTCTTGATCGTATCAACGGGAACCCATCAGCAGTCAACAATGGTGAATTGTTATTATTTCCATTGTAAGGTCCAGAAGCGGTCCGTTGCATCGATTTACTACCAGGAATGTTGTTGAATGTTTCTACTGCAAGTTTAGGTCGCATGGTGATAGGTGCGACTCTAAGACTTGTAGTCTTTGAAAAATTGCCCATGCTGTTGTCTTTCGGTTCCATGGGTATGAGATTTAGTTTTGCCCAACGTTCGTTACTTTCACGTATTACATGATTTAAATCAAAATCTGGTGGCAAACTTAATCTATTCTGGTTTTTAGAACCACCGCCAGAACTTGAAGTAACAAGTCCAAGCCAAGGATTTAGCGACTTTAAATTTTGACGTACATCTTGTGATGAGAAGTTTGCTGGTGTGTTATCACTATCAGCTCTATTATGCTGTTTGCTAAATGGGCTTTTTGATCGTGGTGAGGAGGCCGCGTCTTTACTACCAGGACTTTTTGGTCTTGGACTTCTGGATCTTGAGGTGGTCCTTTTTGGTGAAGTCATGAGTTTGTTGTTGTTATTATTGTTGTTGTTATTGTTATTCATTTTGTAGTTATCACCTGAAGGACTTTTTGGTCGTGGACCTGGACTCCTAGATCTTGATGTGGACCTTTTATTCATATTGTTATTGTTTTTATTATTATTTTTATTGGTATTGTTATCAGCAAGTTTAATATTAATTTTAGGAATTGGTGAAGTTGGTGAATGAGCTTGTTCTGATGAAATCATTTTTTTTTAAGTCTTATAAACAAAAAAAATAAAAATTTTTCCTAAAATAATTTAAATTATAATACCTATTTTATTTATATTAATTATGTTTGTTAATAATCGTGTTACTGTATAGTAATAGTCGTTATTTACACACTTGAAGAACCAATTGGCTCATATGAGACACTGGGTTAAAATTGTAACAGGTCACATACATACATCCTCAATAATGAATGTGACCATAGTACAGATCATCTAAAAGACATCCAAAAAATCTAATCGATGATCTACAGTCCCTTGAAAAAAGTATCGCTTCACCTGATGATCGACGAAAATAATTGGATAACTTCTGTGATATAAAAAGTCATGATTTTACTAACCAAGTCGATGTTGTGTAATAACAAAAAAATCATTTTCATAATGATTTCTATAACATATTCAAGTTTCACAACACACAATTAATTATTGGTAATTTTATGATCTTTAAAAGACAAAAAAAAAATTTCCGGAAATTTTCAAAAAAACTTGAGATTAGAGCCAACTTTAGATGACATGTTTTAACACATTTTGAGAGCTTAGTAAATGTTGTTTCTTTTATCTTCAAATGTATACTTATGAAATCTCACAATTAATTGTCGGATATTGGTCAAGTATCGAACTGAAACGTAAAAATAATTTTTATGAAGTTTACTAGCTATTTGCACAATATTTTACATATTAACTTGTAATAAAATATACACTAAAAGAATCAAAAAAAGATAGAGAATTTGGTTATTTATTAGTATTTTGTCGGGTTTCCTTTAGAATTAATTACAGCTGCAACTCTTCTTGGCATAGAATTAACTAAATTTTGTAAAAAATTACGGTCAAGTTTCCCCCACTCTTCATTTAAATAAATAGATAATTCTTCAATATTTTTTGGATGTGGTTTTCGATTATGAACTGCCTTTTCTAAATAATCCCAAACATGTTCAATTGGGTTGAGATCAGGACTCTGGGCAGGCCAAGGAAGAGAAGAAATTAAATTATCTTCTTTCCATTTAAGCACCGCCTTTGCAGTATGAACCGGTGCATTATCATCTTGAAATATATTTAAATCAGTTCCTAATTCGTTCATAAAAGGTAATAAATAATTTTCTAAAAGCTCTTGATATTTTTTACCAGTTATTTTACCTTCTAATATTACCAAGGGTCCTGGTTGATTGTTCACAAAACAACCCCACACCATTATTCCTCCCCCACCATGTTTAAAAGTAGGAATAAGACAGTCAACATCATACTTTTCTTTTGGAACTCTCCAAACTCTCTGCCGTCCATCAGAATGATGCAAGTTGAATTTTGATTCATCACTCCAAATAATATTACTCCAGTCATCAACGTTCCAATTTTTTCTTTCTCTGCACCAACTAAATCGTTTTTTTCGATTAACTTCAGAAACAAAAGGTTTCCTCAATGCAGCTCGACTATAATATCCTTCTTCATGGAGATAGTTACGAATTGTTCGATCACAAATAGGATTGTCTGTGGTTTCATTTAATATGTTAGTTATCTCTCTAGCAGGAGTAAAACGATTTTTTATAACAATTCTTTTTAAAGTCCTAGAGTCTCGATCTGTTAAACTTTTTGGTCTTCCACTTCTAGATAAAACGGTAATTTGACCTTTTTCACGATATGCTTTTATTGCACGCTGTACTTGTGTTTGAGTACGACCAACAGCATTTGCTATTTCTCGAGTTGTTTGACCAGCTTCCCAACGACCAATTATTCTTCCTCTTTCAAAGTCAGTTAATTGAGTGTTTTCAGTATTTTGTGTATTTATTTCTGTAAGAGTCATTGTGTTGTTGATTAAAAATAAGTTAAAAAACGTAACAGTTTTAGTTAAAAACGAATAGCAATATTTGCAGAAAAAAAAATTTTTAAATGTAACACATTTATTTTTTTTAGTCGTTTTTACGTTTCAGTTCGATACTTGACCAATATCCGACAATTAATTGTGAGATTTCATAAGTATACATTTGAAGATAAAAGAAACAACATTTACTAAGCTCTCAAAATGTGTTAAAACATGTCATCTAAAGTTGGCTCTAATCTCAAGTTTTTTTGAAAATTTCCGGAAATTTTTTTTTTGTCTTTTAAAGATCATAAAATTACCAATAATTAATTGTGTGTTGTGAAACTTGAATATGTTATAGAAATCATTATGAAAATGATTTTTTTGTTATTACACAACATCGACTTGGTTAGTAAAATCATGACTTTTTATATCACAGAAGTTATCCAATTATTTTCGTCGATCATCAGGTGAAGCGATACTTTTTTCAAGGGACTGTACATACGTTACAAAAGAATAAATCCGATACAAAGTATCCCACATTACAAAAAGGATACCGCCTTGGAAGTGTACGTGAAGAAGAACTTGAAGAAAATTATATCATACTCTTAAATCCAAGGCTGAGATTAAGGAATGTAGCAAAAAATTGCTGGATAAATATTCCGATCAAGAAAAAAAATTCAACCGGGAAAGAAAAGATTGGGATCGCGAGTCGATAAAAACTAATAATGAGATTCAGAAGTTGCACGATCAAGCTTTGGAAGTTGCCGATGTGGCTAAGCGATTATGAAGTGAAAATACTAACCTTATCTCCCAGAATACCCGGTCAAATCTTTCTCTTGCTGAATCTGAGGCCAAAATTACTGCAAAAAACAAGGATATAAAAATGCTTCAGGATGAAATAAAGTCGTTAAAAGGTAAGTTGGTTTTATCCCAAGAAGAATCGTTAAAAAAAGAATCTGAGATCTCATCCCTCAAATCTAATTTAGCTGAATTAGAACGAATTAAGGAGGATTTAATTTCTAAAGTCAGTGAACTGGAGCATCTGAAATTGGTGACTATATCTCGAAACTTATCTAATCAGGTAGAGTTACCATCAGGAGAAGCGAAGCTTCGAACCTCTGATTCATCTATAATTGGTGGAGGTGACGAGGGACAGAGTACCATTGCCCCCATAATAAAAAATATAGCGAATTTCGCTGATACCTTTGCAGTTAATAAACCTATAAAAGATTTTAGTAAATTTTTGCGCAAAAAAAATATGGACAAAAATGATACACCTCAACTCAGTGTTACCATAAATAAGGTTAATGAAGATACAAAGCCTCGAAACGCCAATTCCTCAGGATTATCTAATATGAAGTCTTCTACCAGTAATGCTGATATTTCACAAATAGTAGAGACTAAAGATTTTTCGGAAGAAGCCATCTCTAAAACTGATTTCATTGGAAATGATCAAAGTTATGCGACTAAAACAAAAATGGCCGAGATATTACCTATTGGGGCATTAGGGGTATGTGAAACCTTGGTTAATGATAAGTATCGAATCCCTCCCATTGTTAAGCTTGTTATTCTTATAATAATAGCAATACTAATTATACGGTTTGTGCATAAGCTTATTATTTGGAATAAAGAAAAATCTACGAAGTCCAAATCCGAAAATGGTTCTGATCGAAGTAAAATTTCAGGTAGGCGATATATTTATTGATATATGCAAAGGTATTCGACTCAACACATAATACGCCAAGGTAATACGTAAAAGTATGATCCAATTTTTTGATCCAAAGTGATATACCAAAGTAAAAAATTTTCGATGATCCATTTTTTAAATGCGCTATATTTTAAAATTAGAATTGAATAATAGCTTTAATTTAAAATATTAGCGATGATAAGCGTAAAATTAACTGGAAAAAGACAAAGAAGCAGTGATGATGTAGGTTTATTTGGCTCGCAAGAAAGTGAAGACGATAAAAAACATAAAGCAAATATGGCTCGTTTATTTTCTAATTAATTCATCTTCATTTATACCATTGTCAAGTAGATCAGGTGAAAACTCAGCATTTCGTATATTCTCATAGCATAATTGCAATTTCTCAGAAAACTTTTTAATTTCCGCTTTTGACTTGATAGCATTATACAACTTTATTTCTAAATATTCACACCTTTCACAATTTACGTGTTTTTTTTTAACTCTGCATCTGGCTCTTCGGAAATTGCATTAACGTGATGTACCTCAATCTTATTTTCAACTCTATGCATAGTAACTGGGATGATGAAATCTTTTCCATTGCAATGAAGCTTCATTTCGGATTTAGCCCAATCCATCGCACAATCATGTTTTTTAAGGAAGGGGTTGCTCAATAACAGCATAGTCTTTGGGTAATCAATAACTACGAAATCTAAATAAAATACACAGCCAGGAGCTAGGGTTAATGGTACGTTATAAACCATTCCAATAGATTTGGTTAGGACAGTGGCCGCCCCCTTGAAATAAAACGTCGTACTTTTATCAATTTTTAAACCCAAGCGCTCAGCAATGTCCCTAGACATAAGTAAAGTATTTGAGCAAGAATCGACTAAAATTGCCGAGAGTACTAAACGTTTTATTTTACCCCGCACAGTCGCAATATCTATCACATCTTTATCCTGGACAAAGTTAATTTCCATATCTTCGATAACTTCTTCATCCTCGGTATCTTCGCTTTGTTGAGAAGTATCATTTGCGGTACTAGATTTCTGAAAATTTCGTAAGATTTTACTTATAGCCTCCTCTAATAAAGTGGAATTTACAAGCTCACTTTGAATTATTTCACGTATTCGTCTCTCTAGTAAAGTCGAAGTGGGATTTTGTGATCCTTGAGGAGAAACTTGAATCTCCTTACCCTCTGAAGAATATACATCTTTCTTGCCTTTGGATCGGGATTGTTCATTGGATGTCTTCTTAATGAGTACTCTAGGTCGATCTATTTTTTTTTAATTCTGGATACATTAACATTTGATTCTTCATTAAGTGCGTTATCATCAAATTCACCATCATCTTCTTGATCGGAAATAGCAGATTCGTTTGGGGTTTCTTCCGTATCACAGCTATTATCAAATTGATCTTGTGAGAACCCATCGGCAAAATTAACACGACCAGTTCTTTTTCTAGAATTATTATCCATCATATTCTTAATTATGGGACAACTGCGATAAGTATGACCTAGCTTTTTACAAATCTCACATTTGCGCTGGATCGGCTTAGTACTTACTCTAGGACCTCTAGCCAGATTTATTGATGAATTCGGGGAGCTGGGCAATCCTTCAAGTTGATCTAATTTATTAGCAATATTGACTATTGCGTAATCAATTTCCATCGGCTCAAACACTCTATTATCCTCAGCCTCAAGACCCATTTCTGCATAGTTTTTCAGTTCCTCATAGTACTTGGCTTTCTCAGTTTTGGGACGGAAATTTTGATATTCATATACTGGAGGATTTGTAATTCGTTGAAATGGTTGAGATTTCGGTTGTTGTACAATTTGCTGGGGTGGGTGAATGGTTTGCTGGGGTTGTTGAACGATTTGCTGAGGCGGTTGGAATACTGGCTGTTGAACGATTTGCTGAGGTGGTTGGAATACAGGTTGTTGAACGATTTGCTGAGGTGGTTGGAATGCGGGTTGTTGTACGATTTGTTGGGGTACCTGAGACACCATCCCATTCATATTATTCGCACTTCCGTAATTAAATGAAGAAGGCCTACGTTTAAGCCACAAATTTTTGAGATGAGTAAAGAATGCATTAATTTCCGTGGGATTTGCACGTTCCATCCTGGTGAAAAGTTCATTTGGTAAATGATCCATAATAAATGACAAGGCATTCGCATCGTTGTTAGCAACACCCAATAATAGGGGGCGTATTCTCGTCTCATATGTTTCCGGTGTATCATTAGGTAAAAATTTTTCATAAGCTAATCTCTGGAGAGCAACTTGCTGTGTCCCAATCGTTTCTGTCTGATATTTATGACGCAACCATGCAATAAAGCGAGCTGGAGTATCAATATTATTTCCAGCATGTTGATCAGGTACATCTGCATATTTTCGGCCAAGTCTACCTTTTAAAATAGCTACTTTATTGGCATCATTGAGATTAGTTATCGCAGGAATAGCTAGTATTGCGTGAATTTTATTATACCATTCATCGGGCTGAACCTGTCCATCATAGAATTCAACATTTGCGAGTAAAGGTGTAATACCAGTTAAGTCACCTATAGCTGTCATATTTTGCAGGTTATTCTGAAGCGCTAAAATTTGCTGATTTAAATTTAAAATTATTTGCCTTGAATCTTTTTCCTTATTTTCCCATTTTTTATGCTTCGCCTTTTGCTTGACATGCTTACCCTTCCTTTTTACATGCTTCCTACGCCAATTTTGTAATTCAGCTTGACATGTTTGCAATTTTCCCGTCTGGAAATTGTGGGCCTGGTTAATAAGATCAAAATTATTATTTGTATTAGTCAACTGACCTTGTAATTGAGTTAACTGATTGGTTAAATTACCGATTTGTTGATAATAGACCTGTGATTGGGTATTTTCCCACTCAGCTATATCTCGAAGCCTAGTCACAGCATTTTTAATATCGGTAAATTCCTTTTCTATAGTAGATCGTGGGATAGCAGGTGTTCTCCGTAATATAACATCAATATTCCTGAATGCATTTCGAACAGATTCAGCTGTGGTCTGGTATTCATTGGGTCCTGGCACTTGAATTGTTTGAGCTATTACAGGTTTATTATACTTCCGAGAGGTAATTTTTCGGATTCTATTTTTTAACTTGATCACTTCCTCTTCAAGTATAGCCAACTGTTGTTCTCGAACAAGTATATAACTCTCTGTTTTATCTACATCCTTTAAAGCAGACCGAAGACGTTTTTTCAAGATCGGAAACTTGGGATTTGAGTTCCTGTACTTCTTTTTCGTAAGTAATGATTGTGGTATCCTGAAATGAAATGGTTCTACTGCATTGCTCTAACTCTTTTATGAGAACGCGAATTTTTTTCTCATTTGTTTGATTTATGCCTACTTCTTTACCCAACTCTTTACGCAACTCTTGATTAGTACCTAGCAGTTGTAAGTACGCAGGATCGGTTTGGAAATTCATCTCAAAAGTCCAGTTTTGCTTTATTAATAATATCAATTATAACATTTCGCGGTAATGGCAATGAGTATCCCTACCATTATAATCAGCGCTGATGAGGAGCTAAAAATCGTTCTTCGTCTAATTTACTATCATGTACCTGGATTTTATTCGAATGCCAAAAAATTGTTAGACGCGTGCAGAAAAGAAGGTTATAGATTTCGCCTTATTGATATTGAATCCTGGCTTAATCATCAGTTCGTCCGTCAAATATATCTCTTTCCGCAAAAATGCAAAGCCGGAGCAGGGTTTCAGAAGATATCTATTCCTAACAAAGTACATCAGTGCGAT